TGGAAGAGTTTGAGAAGGATGGGTGTTAGCTCTTCTCTAAATGTTTGATAGAATTCACCTGTGAAGCCATCTGGTCCTGGACTTTTGTTTGTTGGAAGATTTTTAATCATAGTTTCAATTTTGTTACTTGTGATTGGTCTGTTCATATTTTCTATTTCTTCCTGGTTCAGTCTTGGAAGGTTATACCATTCTAAGAATTTGTCCATTTTTTCCAGGTGGTCCATTTTATTGGCATAGAGTTGCTTGTAGTAGTCTCTTAGGATGCTTTGTATTTCTGCGGTGTCTGTTGTAACGTCTCCTTTTACATTTCTAATTTTATTGATTTGAGTCCTCCCCCTCTTTTTCTTGATGAGTCTGGCTAATGGTTTATCAGTTTTGTTAATTTTCTCAACGAATCAGCTTTTAGTTTTATTGATGTTTGCTATTGTTTTCTTTTTTTCTCTTTCATTTATTTCTGCTCTGATCTTTATGATTTCCTTCCTTCTGCTAACTTTGGGTTTTGTTTGTTCTTCTTTGTCTAGTTCCTTTAGGTGTAACGTTATGTTGTTTATTTGAGATTTTTCTTGTTTCTTGAGAAAGGTTTGTATAGGTATAAACTTCCCTCTTCCAACTGCTTTTGCTGCATCCCATAGGCGTTGGGTCATCGTATTTTCATTGTCATTTCTCTCTAGGTATTTTTTGATTTCCTCTGTGATTGCTTTAGTGATCTCTTGTTTATTTAGTAATGTATTGTTTAACCTCCATGTGTCTGCGTTTTTTATGGTTTTTTTTTCCCTGTAATTGATGTCTAATCTCATTGCGCTGTGGTCAGAAAAGATGCTTGATATGATTTCAGTTTTCTTAAATTTACTGAGGCTAGATTTGTGACCCAGATGTGATCTTTCCTGAGGAATGTTCCGTGCGCACTTGAGAAGAAAGTGTAGTCTGCTGTTTTTGGATGGAATGTCCTATAAATATCAATTAAATCTATTAGGTCTATTGTGTCATTTAAAGCTTGTGCTTCCTTATTAATTTTCTGTTTAGATGATCTGTCCACTGGTGTAACTGAGGTATTAAAGTTCCCTACTATTATCGTTACTGTCGATTTCCTCTTTTAGAGCTGGTAGCAGTTGCCTTATGTGGTGAGGTACTCCTATGTTGGGTGCATATATATTTATAATTGTTTTATCTTCTTCTTGGATTAATCCGTTGATCATTATGTAGTGTCCTTCGTTGTCTCTTGTAACATTCTTTATTCTAAAGTCATTTTATCTGATATGAGTATTGCTACTCTAACTTTCTTTTGATTTCCATTTGCATGGAATATCTTTTTCCATCCCCTCACTTTCAGTCTGTATGTGTCCCTAGGTCTGAAGTGGGGCTGTTGTTGACAGCTTATAATGGGTCTTGTTTTGGTATCCATTCAGCAAACCTGTGTCTTTTGGTTGGACCATTTAATCCATTCACATTTAAGGTCATTATCGATATGTTTGTTCCTATTACTATTTCCTTAATTTGGGGGGCTTTGTTTTTGTAGGTCCTTTTCTTCTCTTGTGTTTCCCATTTAGAGAAGTTCCTTTAACATTTGTTGTCGAGCTGGTTTGGTGGTGCTGAATTCTCTTTGCTTTTTCTTGTGTGTAAAGCTTTTGATTTCTCCATGGAATCTGAATGAGATCCTTGCTGGCTGGGGTAATCTTGGTTGTAGGTTCTTCCCTTACATCACTTTAAGTATATCATGCCACTCCCTTCGAGCTTGTAGAGTTTCTGCTGAGAAATCAGCTGTTAACCTTATGGGAGTTCCCTTGTATGTTATTTGTCATTTTTCCTTTGCTACTTTCAGTAATTTTTCTTTGTCTTTAATTTTTGCCAATTTGATTACTATGTGTCTCGGTGTGTTTCTCCTTGGGTTTATCCTGTATGGGACTCTCTGTGCTTCCTGGACTTGGGTGGCTGTTTCCTTTCCCATGTTAGGGAAGTTTTCGACTCTGATCTCTTCAAATATTTTCTCGGGTCCTTTCTCTCTTTTCTTTCTGGGACCCCTATAATGCGAATGTTGTTGCATTTAATTTTGTTCTAGAGGTCTCTTAGGCTGTCTTCATTTCTTTTCATTCTTTTTTCTTTATTCTGTTCCGCAGCAGTGAATTCCACCATTCTGTCTTCCTTGTCACTTCTCCATTCTTCTGCCTCAGTTATTTTGCTATTGATTCCTTTTAGTGTATTTTTCGTTTCAGTTATTGTATTGTTCATCTCTGTTTGTTTGTTCTTTAATTCTTCTAGATCTTTTAGTTTCTTGCATCTTCTCCATCTCTGCCTCTATTCTTTTAACGAGGTCCTGGATCATCTTCACTATCATTATTCTAAATTCTTTTTCTGGAAGCTTGCCTATCTCCATTTCATTTAGGTGTTTTCCTGGGGTTTTATCTTGTTCCTTCATCTCATACATAGCCCTCTGCCTTTTCATCTTGTCTGTCTTTCTGTGAATGTGGTTTTTGTTCCACAGGTTGCAGGATTGTAGTTCTTTTTGCTTCTGCTAGCAACCTGATTTAAAAATGGACCAAAAACCTTGACTGTCACCTGAGAGATATACAGATGGTAAATAAGCATGTGAAGAGATGCTCCATATCATCATAGCCATCAGGGAAATGCAAATGAAGATAAGAACAAGACATCGCTAAAACACCTATCAGAATGGCTAAATCTTGAGCACTGACACCACCAAATACTGAGGAGGATGTGGAGCAACAGAAGTCTCATTTTTTGTTAGTGGGGATAAAAATGGTGCAGGTACTTCAAAGAGTTTGGTTGATTTCTTACAAAACTAATCTACTCTTATCATATGATTCAACAATTTTACTTTACCCAAAGGAGTTGAAAACTTAGGACCACACAGAAGCCTGCACAAAGATGCTCATAGCAGCTTTATTCATAATTGCCAGATCTTGGAAGCAATGAAGATGTCCTTCAGTAGGTGAATGGATAAATAAACTACAGTGTACCCAGTCAGTGGAATATTATTCAGCACTGAAAAGGAATTAGCTATCAAGCCATGAAAAGATATGGAAGAACCTTAAATGCATATTACTAAGTGGAAGAAGCCAATCTGAAAAGGCTACATACTGTATAGTCCAAACTATATGACTTTCTGGAAAAAACAAAACTATGGACACAATAAAAAAATCAGTGGATGTAGGTAAGGGGAGAGAAACGAATAGAGTACAGAGGATTTTTAGGGCAGTGTAAATAATATGTATGGTATTATAGTGGTGGGTATATGTCATTATACTTTTGCCTAAACCCATAGAATGTACAATATGAAGAATGAACCCTAAGGTAAACTTTGGAGTTTGGGTGATTATGATGTGTCAATGTAGGTTCATGCTTGTTTAAAAAAAAGTGCCCTGTTTTTGTGAGTGATGATGGAGGCTGTGCACATGTGGGGGCAGGGGAGATCTCTATACCATCCTTTCAGTTTTATTGCAAATGTAAAGCTCCTCTAAAAGAATAAAGTCTTTTAAGTGGGGGGGATAAATATTGCCTCTGCTCTGGGTTTTGGGCCTTAAGATACCTGCTTGAGCACCCAGTGTACCAGTGTGAAATAAAATTTGTCTATCTCAGATCTGTTCTTTAGCATCGTTTAGTTGCAAACTGAGATCACAGAGCAGCCTCCACAGCTCATCCACATGTCCTCAGGAGGGAGCCCCACCCCTGCTTCCTTAACTTCATCAGGCAGGAGCAAGATGGACTTTGTTCCAAAAGAAAAATGACCAAATCCCCACATTTAGGAGATTTCCCTTTATTCTGAGTCTGGGGGAATAAAGACTGGCAAAACCAGCGCAGTCTAAGCCAGCACACTATTTATAACTTATTTATAACCTCACATTCTAAGATAGTATTTATGCCCAGGAAACTTTTCTTGAAGGGAGTGGGTAAATTTTCATTTACAGTTTAATTGTCACGTGACATCAATAAGCATTGGATTTGTATACCAGTAACAGGAAACTCGATAATTACTGGCTTAAGCAAGTTGGGATTTACTTTTTCATGTAATGTGTAGTCTAGAGATTGACAATCCATGGATGATGCAGCTGCTGAAGGATGTTATCAAGGAACCCATATCCTGTCTTCTTAGCTTATGTTTGTTGTCTTCATGATCTCAAGATGGCTGTTGTATCTCTGGAGACTTCATCAGAGTTTTTGGAGGGAGGAAGGGGGAAGGATAAAGGGAAATTGCTTCTTAGAAGGCTTTGCATTCTTCTGGTAGACGGTACCCTCTCAGAGATTGATAACCCCCTTTCCTTGGCCAGAACATGTGGCATAGTTGGTATGACTTGATATTTATCTCATGGTATCTGGAAGTAGAATAGAATAGTGGTTGAGAACATGGATCTGAGTTTGAAAATTGGCTGTGTTACTTCCTAGCTGTGTGACTTTTAACATTCTGTGTCTTAATTTCCTTATCTATAAAGTGGGTCTAGTAATAGGTAGGTACCTATGCTGTTGAAAGGATTAAGTGAGTTAATATATGTCATTGTTTTAATGGACATGCATAGTTTGTGTTAAGTATTAGTTATCATTAGCATCTTCACTACTTAGAAGAGTTATTGAGATTGGAACTGTAAATTTATCACTCAGGAAATTCGTTTTCTTTGAGATAGGAAATAGAGCATTTAGATGGTTTTGTACCAGGGATGATTGAAAAAGATGGTAGAACTTAAGCACTCGTGATTGCATTATACTATCAAAATTTATGGTCAAGTTACAGTATTGGAGTCAGTTAAATTATTCATTTAATTCATCTTAGAACTTGATGGTGCTTAGGGCCATCTTGAACAAATTGTCATTTGACCAGCAGTCCTCTGACGTTCATTCAGCTCAATAGAAATTTCATCTCATCACTAGAAAGTTTGAAGACTTAGCTATGTATTGAAATATGGTTTTGTTGGTATTGTTACTGACTTTTTCCAATTTGTAATCACTCTACTTAAAAAAATGTATTAATTATTTTTCTATTCTGTTTTTAGCCCTATCTGCTTTGATATGATTGAGGAAGCATACATGACGAAGTGTGGCCACAGCTTTTGGTAAGATGATTTAATTTAGTGAAATTGTCTTTTGGCAATTCTTAACTTGTGTGTCAATGTAGCCAGTGAGAAGTTATGTTTTTAAAGCTACTGTTGGTTATTTTGAATCATATTTCCTTGACCGATATACCTTTACAGGTTTGACAGCTCAAGGCAAACGTGGTTGCTGGTATAATTTCTGTGAAATACTTAGATTTACTATCAGCCTTATAGATGAAACTATAATAATAAACTTTTGGGTTTCTTAATTGTTTAAAGAGCTTTGACTGCTGTTTTAGGAAATTGGGGGGGGTGCTGGGTAATTAGGATGAAGCATGAAGCACCTTTAACTCACTTGTGGGGGATAGATGCGAGGGCCATTAAAGCAGGCTGGAAGGTCATTGGAAAAGGATATTAGAGGATTAAAAAGTTCTGTGTTCTTTAACACTTTGCTCAGTGCTGTCTTTAGGTTATATGTTATGCTAATCTGTATATTTTAAAAGATTTTCAGTTGTGATAAAATATACTTAACATTTACCATCTTAACCATTTTTAAGTGGAGTAGTATTGTGTATTGTAACATTGTTGTGCAAATCAGTCTCCAGAACGTTTTTATCTTACAAAACTGAAACTATACCCATTAAACAACAAGTGCCATTTCCCTCTTATCCAAACCTCTGTCAATCACCATTCTACTTTTTGTGAATGAGACTACCCTGGATACCTCATATAAATGGAATCAAACAGTATCTGTCTTTTGTGACTAGCTTATTTCACTTAGCAGAGTGTGCTCAAGTTTTATCCATGTTGTAGCATGTGTCAAAATTTCCTTCCTTTTTGAGGCTGAATAACATTCCATTGCATATACAGTTGGCCCTCTGTATCTGCAGGTTCAGCATCTGTGGGTTCAACCAACCACGGTTCCAAAGTATTTGAAAAAAAAATTCCAGAAAATTCCAAAAAGCACAACTTGAATTTGCAGCTCACCGGCAACTATTTACATAGCATTTACATTGTATTAGTTATTATAAGTAACCTAGAGATGATTTAAAGTATACAGTAGGATGTACAGTAGGTTATATGCTAATACTACACCATTTTATATAAGGGACTTGAGCATCCTTGGATTTTGGTATCTACGGGGGTATTCGCTGTGGATACTGAGGGATGACCATATATATCATATTTTGTTTGTGCATTCTTCTCTCTATGGACACTTGGGTTGCTTTCAGCTGTTAACTATTGTTAATAATGTTTCTTTGAACATTGGTGTATAAATAGCTTTTTGAAATCCTGCTTTCAGTTCTTTCAGGTATATACCTGGAAGCAGAATTGCTGGATCATATGGTACATCTGTGTTTAATCTTCTGCGGAACCTCCATACTGTTTTTCATACCTGCAGTACCATTTTACATTCCCACCAGCAGTGCACAGGGTTCCAATTTTTCCACATCCTTTCCAACACTTGTTATTTTCTGTTTTTTTTTTTTAATAGTGGTCATCGTAATGGGTATGTAATTTGTGTATGTTTAATTCCTTTAGTTTATTTACCTATTTATTTGATTGGAGGTGGTATATTCTACTTGCAGTCAGTCATCTCCCTAAATTATTTACCTTCTTTGTTTAGTATTTCTGTTGTGTTCTAATATATCTTATTATTCTAATTCATGTTGAAGTTAGACCCACAATTTTATACTGAGGTTGAATATGATATCTGGTAGGTTGATATCCATTAGTGAAGACGAGTATTGTCACCAGTTTGTAAGTCCTTTAGTTTGACCTGGAGTGCAGTGCTTTGTTGCTAGGTATATCCAATCTGCCAGTCATTTAGAAAGAAATTTTAGAATAAAAATAGCTTTCTTAGCTTGCATTATCTGTGTCCTTTATTAAAATAAAAGTTATTAAAATGATAAGAACAATGTATACTGTTGGCTATAAAAACTTTCATTGTACAGAAAGGTATAATATGAAATGTAAATGTTTCCTTTCCCCTAGCCTTTCTTTTCTACTTCCTCAAAGATTATCTCTGGTAAGAAGTGACTGTGTATTCTTTCAGAATCTTTTTGTTGGTTTTTTAAAAAAGGCCATCTTGCCTTCTTAAATAATTTTTATTTCCTGGTATATATTGCATTGACATTATTATCATTTGTGAATCACTTTCTTCTATATATTGCTACTGAAATTCTGGTCATGTGGGTCTTGACACATGTATGGGCCTGGTCTTTTCAGGCTGATTGTTTAACAGTAGTGTTCTCTTTGGTCCATTAATTGATCCAGCACCTTAGCATTCCATAGGAAATCATATACTTCTCTTAGAGACATTGGGTTCTGATTATTCTGGAAAATTGGGTGATTTATGGTAGGCTTTCTCAACCTTGGTAGTATTGACATATTACACCAGATAATTCTTTGTTGTGGGTAACTGTCCTTGGTATTTTAGATTGTTTAGCAGTATCCCTGGCTTCTGTAGTAACCCAGTAACAACCCTTTTACTCCAAGTTGTGACAACCAAAAATGTCTCCAACCATTGCCAGATATCCCTTAGAGGACAAAGTAGCCCTTAGTTGACAACTACTGATATAAAGCTAAAAGAGCAAGTTCTTGAAGTTGGTGGACCAGGAATCTAGGTCTGGGTCTAAAACTCACCTCTGTCAAGTCAGTCAGCATATCATCTTCTGCTGCTCTCTGGTGCCCAACCCCCGTTGTCTTCCTACCCTTTCACTTCTCTTCTTTCATAGATTTGAAGGTGTTGAAGTGTGAAACAGATTGTAAAGTGAGGTTTCCATTTTTCCTAACTGCCCTTGTCTAACATATTCACTGTGGCATTTAAAAAAGCTTAAGAGTCTGCTGAATCAGTTCAATGATCTTGCCTCAGTATGTTGTGAAGTACAATAAATTACTAATTGACTTTATAACTAGACAGGCCGGGCCTTTTCAGTGAGTCCTGTAATCTTCATGGTGTGAGTTTAGTTCATTGGTTTCTTAAATACCTTCTTTTTACCTTCAAATAAAAATAAAGTTTAGATCTTTGTTACAATTCAAGTTACTTTGTTACACTCTGATGTGATCTTGTTTTTTTTAAAAAAGTATTTTTTTATTTTTAGCTGCGTTGGGTCTTCGTTGCTGTGCGCAGGCTTTCTCTAGTTGTGGCGAGTGGGGGCTACTCTTTACTGTGGTGCGCAGGCTTCTCACTTGTGGTGGCTTCTCCTGTTCTGGAGCACAGGCTCTACGGTGCAGGCTTCAGTAGTTGTGGCTCGTGGGCTCTAGAGTGCACGCTCAGTAGTTGTGGCGCACAGGCTTAGTTGCTCTGCGGCATGTGGGATCTTCCCGGACCAGGGATCGAACCCGTGTCCCCTGCATTGGCAGGCAGATTCTTAACCACTGTGCCACCAGGGAAGTCCCTGTGATTGTGTTTTAAAATACCTACCAGAAAGCAGGTGTTGGTAGGATAGGGATGATAACATTGGTAGGAGCCAATAAACCTGGAAGCTGACAGTCCCGTTGCCAGGCTTGATAAACTGTGAGACATTTTGTTCTTTTGTTGAAAGCAAAAGCTCTTAATTATTTACGGTGAGACATGAGAGGCCTGTGGAAGTTCAGTCATTAACAGTAGCCTGTTGTATCAACTGTTTGCTAAGTTGAACCCTGGCTGGTTACCTGGAGCCAAGCAGAATACCACTTCAAGGCTCCATCCAGATTATTAACACTAAATCAAATCGGGCCACATCAACTGTTTATTCCTTGTCCCACTTAAAAATGATAAGTCTTTCCTAGTAACAGGTTGGAGACATTACAGCGGCAAGTTCTTTCACTTTAAATCATTCCCACTTCACAGTGAGCCTGCTATTAGCTATAATCCAACTGAAACTCAATGATATAATTTTAAAAATCTGGCTTCTGTATGACATAGAGATAAGGTTTGCTCTTTTTCTTTCCCCTTTGCTGCCTCCAGCTTGTCCCCTGCCCTCTGCTTCTCAGACCTCATGTATGTCAGCTCCTGATTTACTGTTTGCTTCAATACAAACTAGTTATAATTAACAGGGTCCCTCAGTGTTGTCATCTTGCAGCATACCTGTGATCAAGCCTGGGTGTCAGTTTGCCTTTTGGGACTTTTGACTAATCCATCACCTCGCACCTTACTATTAGTCTTTTTTTGTACCTGGTTCTTATGTAGAACCACTGGTACTGATTTTTTTTTCTTTTCTTTTTATAGTTCCTTCTTTTTTGAGAATTTTCTAATTATTCAGTTTTCTGTATCTACTCATCCCTGTTGACACAGACAGAAAAATCAATTATATTTTGTAGGTAGGTATATACTTAATAAAAGAAACAGAGCAACTGTATACATCTATGGAGGAATATTCATTCTTTGTGGTCAGATCTACACTTATCAGGGGACATAGGTACCATTAGCACACTGTGGTACTGAATAAATTTTTTTAAGAGTTGCAGTGTGAGTAGCTATTGAAAATTTCTCAGGTAGACCCAAAATATATATCCTTCTTACCTCTTTTTGCCCACCTATTTTGATCACTAGTTTAGGCATATACTCTTCTTTTGGAATCCAAAACATTGCATTTGGGCTGGTGATGGTCAAGGAGATATTTGAGTGAGAATGAATTAGAGTTACTGTATTGAGACTTCCTTTTTTTTTTTTTTTGCGGCACGCCGGCCTCTCGCTGTTGTGGCCTCTCCCGTCGCGGAGCACAGGCTCCGCACGCGCAGGCTCAGAGGCAATGGCTCACGAGCCTAGCCGCTCCGCGGCATGTGGGATCCTCCCACACGGGGGCACGAACCCGTGCCCCCTGCATCGGCAGGTGGACTCTCAACCACTGCGCCACCAGGGAAGCCCTGTATTGAGACTTTCTCGCAGTGTTTTATATGACCCAGAAGGCAGCAGAAGTATGTTTCTTTTTTGGTTATATCTATTTTCTCATGCATTCAGAATTTATTGAGTTCCAACTCTTTAACAGGATATTGTGCTAGATATTGAGGGTACAGAGATGAGTAAAACAAATCTC